GGATGATATTACTTAGATTGACATAACACTGCTAAATCATTTATCCAATTCGTCCAAGCCTGCTGGGCTATAACTAAAATACTAAATCACGTTTTGCAATAATACATACATTTGCACTCGATGGAATTATCCAATTTCAACATTTATTGCATGTCATGAGATTTTACACATGTTTTACCTATGTAGTTGTATGTTGTGGAATTATATATATATACCCGTAGCAACGTACGGAGCACTCAACTAGTAAACATAAGAAAATCAAATCAGTACTTTTGTAATGTTTAAGGTTGAAAATACTAAAATTTAAGTACATTATTTGTTTAGGTAGCTTTTCTTAGCCCTTGAGAGTTAAAGAGATTATTTTAGAACTTTTTTTGCTTTTGTGGTTCTCTAAATAATACTATATTGATTCTCTCTATATATAGTATATAGTTTGTAGTATGCGAATCGGTGGCCTCCTATATGTAACTGGACTGGGCCTAAAATTAAAATAAAATGATGTGCTAGTTGGTGATGAACCTAGGATGGTAATCTGGTGGGGAACCCTCTTCCGTAGCAATGTGTGGGATTCAAGTAACAAAATGAAAATAAATTATCTGCCATGCATAGCTATCAACTTCACTAAGGATGAAATTTTTGGCGGACATTTTGAAGAGCCGTGCAAACGAATGTTTTGGTAGCTTCTCTGAAGATCTCTAAGTCATGATTAAGGACTTAGACAGAATGTAACTTAGATGGTTAATACGAGAAATAACTTTACTATGCCTTCTTATGCAAAAGTGTTTTCCGGATTGTATACATGCTCAAATACAATTGTGTAAAAGTTGAACTATGAAAAAAAAATCATTGGTTGTTTTCATGTGCATCCCTAAGATAAAGCCGTGGCGTTAACACGGGCATTATACTAGTAAATTTAGTACGCTAGTTGAATGATCCACACTTGTACTAATTGATTGATCTTTTCAAACCCTTATAACTCGGTTGATGGATTGATGATTCCCAAGGAAAAAAAACAAGAGGAACCTTAATCAGGTTATGCCAACGATCTTGATAAAAAAAGTTGTTGCTGACCAGAAAAAATTATGGAAACCCAAGCTAATTGTGCCAATTGCATTGGTGTTTTCTATTTATTTAGTGAACGTTGAGTACTTTCCAATTTCAATGTCATATTGGGTCGTTGAACCAATAGCTTGTGTCCAAAAATCGGTCACGTATCTCTTTTTATTCAATCTCATGTGTTTGTAGGAGTATTTTGATTTCTTATATGGTGCCACATATGGAAATATATATGGAGTTCCAATCAGATTGAGACACGAACCATATATATTCTATAGCTATAGTAGAAAAAATATAATGTATATGACTACTATTATTACTCATATTACTTATTCACAGCTTCTTTTTTGAATTTTATTGTATTGGACTCTATGGATTAATCTATACCGTTAGATCATCATAAAATCTAACAGTGTATATTTTTTCTCGGTACTCTATCTATTCTCTACCGTTAGATCATCATAAAATCCAACTGTACATATTCTTCATTTTTTAATACTCTATTTATTCTTAGCCGTCAGATCATCATAAAATCTAACAGTACATTTTTTTTCTATTTTATGATTAATCTCGTAATTTCTAGGCCCTCTTGGCGAAGGTGAGGGCTCCTTTTGATTTTTGTTGTATTAATATATCAGAATTATTTATAACTTCCTAGATGCAATAAAAATGGGGAAAATATTGTGTGCAAACCACTCTCCCGGTGCAATAATGAAAATCCTTCCAAAAATTTTTTTCCAAAATTGAAACTATTTTCATAGTTAATCCATAGATTAATCTCAATCTAGAAAAACTCATATGAAAATAACAATTTTTGCTAGAAGCCAGGAATTTTGTCTCTTGCACTTGCACCTGAAATTTGTCATTTTTGAGGGTTTGCTCCTTTTGATTTTATCTTGTATTAATATATCAGAATTATAATTAAAACACTAACTTCCTAGATGCAATAAAAAAAATGATAATTCAACACACTTTATACCCTAGTCTTGATTGAATTGAACTACCTTTGGTCCCTTGACAGCAAGAGCTTTTACCTTCCGAACGATGCTCTTATGGTTGCCGTGCCAGTGCACAGTACACAGTTCCTTTGTGTGTCTTAAGAAATGGTGCTACACTCCTATTTATAGTGATGTAGGAGAGCCCTTGGGGTGAGGGACTTTTCCATTCCAAAAACCATGGGATACGTAGCTCCCCAATGTTTTGCCTCCTGAAAAGTTGAGGTCGGTGAACGGATTGCACGGTGGGGTTGGTCCATAGTTAAACCTCCAAAGCTCTAGATTGGTTTTGGTGAATTGATGAAACCCTAAGTGTAACAAAAGTTGAGAAACAAAATCAATCTAGAAAAAAGATCATCATATAAAGATGATGGCAAATAACAAATTTAAGGCAAAAGGTATAATTTGTAAGAGCTATTTGCATCTAGAACTTAGACAAATTCATAGTCGAATTTTGTCTTCTAGTGCACTTGCAACTCTGAAATTTGATCATTTTTGTAATATTTGTGAATTTCTACACACAAGGTAAGTTTTTGGGTCCCAACTTTGAAATGTTACAATGCGTATATCTATGGATGAACTATGATCGATGATGATGCGTCGGTCCATCATTTCATAATTTTTGGAAAACTCTCGTCCGGTATGTTTTTTACTATAAAGGGTTTTTATGATTGCATCGAGAGGTGGTTTGCATCCAATATTTCCCCAGCGTTGTGCCCAAAAGGATAATTCAACACACTTTATACCCTAGTCTTGATTGAATTGAACTACCTTTGGTCCCTTGACAGCAAGAGCTTTTTGACCTTGCATCTAGAGGCGATGATTGTTTATGGTTGCCTCTTGGTGGTTGCCGCCACCTAGACGGCTTGGAGCAAGCAAGGATCGCATTGTCTCCGACTCCGATCGTGGTGATTGTGACACCTTTCTCAGTTCCTTTGTGTGTCTTAAGAAATGGTGCTACACTCCTATTTATAGTGATGTAGGAGAAAAATCATTGCCATCATTTGGGGATGAGGGTGATTGATTTTCCATGTCTGTCTCTTGCTCACTCTTACATGGGATTATCGCTTTAGTGCCTTTGTGCTCCCCAATGCTCTAGATTGCCTCCTGATGTTGGTTGAAAGTTGAGGTCGGTGATGGTGGATTGGACACCAAGGTGGGGTCCAACCTAACACATGGATGGTCGAACAAGGCTATTCACCCCCCTCTAGCCATTAGGACCTTTCACCTCCCTAAGTGCTCCCCTGGCCATCCATTCTTCTTGTGTGTAGAGATGGATGCCTTGGATGATCTCGTGGACGTTCGTTGGACAAGTCTATGTTTCTTTGCATGCGGTTGTGGATTCATGAATCCAAGTGACGATCATCTCGTCCTTCAAAAATGAACAGTGTTGATCGAACACATATGATAGCTCGTGAGTGTGTCTTCTCATGCTGAACTTGGATTGACCTTGTTTGGGCTGGGGCAGCCACCCGATCCATGGTAGGGTTGGCTGCCCCCCCCCCCCTCATGTAGCTGTTTCTGCTTATTTATTTTCATCGTGTACATCGCTACATACAAATACTCTCCATGTGCATGTGAAAATCTTATTAGTTGAAATAAATATATTAGCACATAAGTTTTTGGTAATCCTCATTTATTCCGATCACTTGATGACCGAATCTTTGCAATAGTGACCGTCAACACACTTGACGATTGTATAGAGAGCTGAGAAGTCTCGATACACTCATATACGGAAGTAGCATATAAAACAGTTTAGCTGAAATTAAATATAATAACATTTTGAGAAAAAATAATCTCAAAATTATAAATGATATGATGCCAAATACAAACAAAATATGATGTGCTTGGTTTTTAGCATCTACCTAAAATTTACAATTTTTAAAAATCACTAGATCCTTCATTTTGGAAAAAAAATAAAGAAAATAACGTAGTAAGCGGTTGGAAATTGAGGCCAACACCGTCACGATCGGAAACATGGTGTGTGTCTTCATTGGGTGGCGTCACTTCTATACGGTTCACGCCAAGCAGAATGGCGTGGTTTAGCCTAATATGCACACGTGTAAAATACACCTATTTAATTACGCCAACACATATGGTGTGGCATGGTCATTTGTTAGCCATGGTTCCTGACTTGATGAAAAAGACTAGTAGTTTCTAAAAATTTAGTTCAGTATATCCTATTATGAAAATATTAGTTTTTCTGAATTAAAATAAAATAAAAATTTAGAGGATGCATCTCAACAAAATGACCAGCCAAACCCACAGTGGGTGGAGCAGGCCTAACAAATCGGCACAGCCCAGCTCGGCTCGTTTAGGACTAGGACTCTCCCTCGGGCCTCGGCCTGTCGTGAAGTCGCCCGCCAGTTTATTTTTAGCCAAGAAATGAGGCCCAGTACTCTTAGGCTCCCTTCGGTTAGAGGGAATCCGGCCGTGGAACCGTTCCAGCCATTGAAAGCTTATATAAATTTTAGTAAGAAATCTGGCAAGGAATTGTTCCTCGGGTTCGTTCACCCGGAAGCGAACGGGCGGCCCGTCAAATGCTAATCACGATTCACGAGTTGGAGAACTGGGTCCACCGCTGGTCTCACAGAGACCGTTTCGTATTCGACGCAGCGCTGGCCTCTCGATCGAGTTAAATTGCAACGATGATCGATCGATCCCCACAAGAGATGAAACGCCACGGTACTGTAGCGCGCTGCCGCCTCGTATTCGGCGCACGGTACCAGAGGAGATGAGATGATCCGCGCCGCGCCCCGTATCCTGGGTAACCAATGGGTGCCGGAGCCATGGAGTGGAACGAGGCGCTCGCCATCAATGCGGGAGCAGCGGAGCACTAGTACATAGATAGCTGGCGTGCCGAGACGATGAACCTCGGCTCACGCAGAACTGACTGATCCACCACCACGGTGAAAGGCTAGGGCATCCGATCGTCTCGGGCCGTGGACGATGATGGGGAAGAAGGGCAAGGGAGCGGCGAATGCGGGCAAGAAGCGGCCGGACGACGAGCTGGTCGACCTCATCTTCTCCTGGTCCCTCCTAGACGTCATGAACCAGGACCTCTTCAGAGACAAGGTTCGACGATCACTACGATCTTTGCATCTACTTCTACTAGCTGGTCTCTCCGCATCGCAAGACCCTTTTTTTTCACATCGCTCTCTCCAGTGCAAGCTGGTCTCTGATTAAGCACGCGGTCCATGCTCTGTGCAGGCTAGCACGATACCTGACAGGTTCTTCGGGCTCAAGAGCTACCTGGACGCGTTCAGGATCCCGCTGCTGGAGGAGATGCGGGCAGAGATGAGCTCTAACCTGGAGCCGCTGCCCGACCACCCATCGGCCGTGCCCATACGGTCCCTGGTGCCCAGCATTGGCAAGAGCTTGAGGAATTTCGGCTTGGTGTACCGTGCCACGGTTGCCCGCGGCCGTGGATCGCGTCATGCGGCGCCGTGCATCGGTGACATCATCGTGCTCTTGGACGGCATGCCTCGCCGGCCGGCCGAGCTCGCGTGGAGCGGCTGCGGCTCGTACTGTGTCGCGCACGTCCAGGATGTCGACCGCAACGGGTACGGCTTTGAGATCAGAGCGTCCAGGAAAATCGAAGACGCGAGCTGCTACGCTCTCGCTGTCAGCCTGCTCAGCTTCATACCCTACGCGCGCATCTGGCGGTGCCTGGACTACGACGCCGCCGTGAAGAGAAACCCTACCCTCGTCAAGGTGGTCGCCGGCGACGCGCAGGTACACACGCACACACACTTGTCCAACGCTACCCACGTATTCTCGTTTGTTGCATGCATCGGCTTTCCTTACTTGGCCGACCCTCTTGTTCAGCAGAGCCCATCGTTTCCGGCTGGGTCCTCGGCTCCAGCTCGTCGAGACACCGGCGGGACGGACGCAGACGTGGCGGCAAAACTGTCCACGTTCAAGCTCAACGACTCCCAGACGGAGTCCATTCTGAGCTGCGTCAAGGCGACGCGGCAGCAGGACGGCGCGAGCAAGTTCAGCCTCATCTGGGGCCCGCCCGGAACGGGCAAGACCAAGACGATCAGCGTGCTACTGCTACTGCTTCTGACGAGCCAGACCAAATGCCGCGTCCTGACGTGCGCGCCCACCAACACCGCCATCAGCCAGGTCGCGTCCCGCCTTCTGACGCTGTGGAAGCAGCACGCCGCTGCCGACGGAGGCTGCCACGGCGATCTGCTGCTGTTCGGCAACCGGGAACGCATGGCCGTCGACGGTGATCTGGGCGAGATCTTCCTGGACACTCGCGTGAAGCGGCTCAAGAAGTGCTTCTCACCGGCGACGGGTTGGAGGCATTGCCTTGTTTCACTAGAAGTGTTCCTGGGAGAACAAAGAACAGTCACGTGTCAGTACCAAGGAGATTGCTTGCAGAATGTCGGGACAAAAGTGGCTGAGACATCTTTCGTCAGGTCGAGGCTCCATCAGATATTTGATACGCTGAGAAACTGCTTCAGACTAATCATGTCACAAGTCCCTAGAGCCGTCCTTTTGGAGAAGAACTACAAGAACATTGTCCTACTGATGGAAATGCTCAAAGACTTCAGCAAGTTGCTTGGAAGGAAGATCGTCGGAAACGATGAAGCGAGCAAATCAGAGTTCGCTCAAAATCTTATGCAAAGCAAGGCACGAATCCTTGACGTCACGAGAACTCTCCTCCGGGAGCTGAAGCTTCCCGTGACACGCTCTGACTTCAGAATCAAGAAGTTCTGCCTTGGAAGCGCGCCCTTTATTTTCTGCACGGTGTCTGGCTCGGCCAAACTGAATAATCAGAAGATGGACCTGCTGCTCATCGACGAGGCTGCGCAGCTGAAGGAATGCGAGTCCCTCATACCAATGCAACTCTCTGGACTGAAGCACGCTGTTCTTATTGGCGATGAGTGTCAACTACCAGCAACCGTGAAAAGCAAGGTACGGTCAGTGCTTACTTATGTTCGTGCATTATCGCATCTGTCTGGGCAATGCTCATAGTTTGTATTGCTGGGCAAAATTGAGCTTTGGCAATCTTAATTTTGGTAGGTTTCAGACACCGCATTGCTGGGCAGGAGCCTGTTTGAGAGGCTAAGCGCGCTGGGACAGAAGAAGCACCTTCTGAACATTCAGTACAGGATGCACCCTTCTATAAGCATCTTCCCAAACTTGAGCTTCTACGACAAGAAAATTTTGGATGGCGCGAATGTCACGCAGGAGGGCCACGCGCGTAAGTACCTTCAAGCTGCAATGTTTGGGCCGTACTCATTCATCAATGTCGAAGGAAGAGAAGATCCCGGTCGGAGCAAGCGAAACATGGCCGAGGTAGCTGTCATATTGGAGATATTGAACGCTCTAAAAATAGGTAACTGATTCATATTTATATTTGCTAAATTAATTCATGTTTCTTTTTCAATTCTCACACTTGAAACATTGCTGCTGAAATAGATTAGATCAATGGTCACGACTTATTGCAATTGTCATGCAGTTTAGTCTCTGGCTATATATATGCAGCTTGTATCAGCAGCCGGCAAGGAGTTTCTGTTGGGGTGATCAGCCCATACGCAGCTCAGGTGGAGGCAATTCAGCAGAAGATAGGGGACGCCAAAGCCATGCATCCCCTGACTCTGCGCGTCAACTCCATGGATGGATTCCAAGGCAGCGAGGAAGACATCATCATCCTGTCAACCGTCCGGTCTAACAGTGCAGGATCCATCGGCTTCCTGTCCAATCTCCGACGCGCCAACGTCGCTCTGACGAGGGCAAGGTAACCACTGTATTTTCAGGCCAAAAAACAAACCAGACAGCAACTTAGCCCTATCGTTTTCGTTTTCATTGAGCTGTTCTTGCACGTTCTTGGTGGGTGCAGGCACTGCCTCTGGATCCTGGGCAACGCGGCGACCCTTTGCGGCAGCGGTTCCATCTGGGAGGAACTGGTCCAGGACGCCGTGGATCGCCGCTGCTTCTTCAACTGGGGAGACAGCGCGGGAGTTTCTTCTCCCATCACTCCGTGGCGGAAATGGAATGCAGCCGCAGTTGGATTTGGATCAGACTTTGGCGTGCACGTCCCTGCTGCGTGCCGCGGATGCGAAGCTGACATTTGCGGTGCACTAGGCTCCCTGCGTCTAGCTGAGTGAAGAGGCTTTTTTGGATTTCAGGTTTAGAATTGCGTTTTGGCTGGTGATTTCCAATGTCGTGGTAACTACAGATATACAATGCAGATATATTCTTTTGCTAAGGTATTCCTTTGTTAGGACTTTCTACATTCGTGCTTTCATTTTCAGTTAGAGCATCTGAGCATGCAAGCACAAGGTCAGTTTCATACACATTTCATCGCTCAAATTTCTGAGCCTCGCATATGATAACCCTAACTAAATGGTATGGAAAGAAAAAATGATAAAAGTAGAGGAATCAATGGAGCTAGTATTGTTTCTTCATTTAAACTCACAAAGATCACATTTCATGAATAATGCAGGTCCTATAGGACTTGCAAACCCACACTAAGGGATAGTAGTATCCCATGTTCCGGTACTTCCTCGGTTCCAAAAAAAAAAAAGTGTTATTTTAGAAATAAATCTGAACAAGTGCTTGTCTAGTACATATATGTAGCTATTGTTGTACTGTACTCCCTTTCTAAAGAGTCAAATGCTGACCAGATGTTTATACTTGTACTAGTACAACACAACCGAGAAAAAAAAACTAAGTAAACAATCTCACGCCATGTCCACTGCCTCCATGAACTCCCTGTCGGCTGTGAGCCTGGCGAGCGCTTCTGGAGACATGCACACCTCCACCCCCATGCTCCCACCACCATCACGCCCCGGGTACACGGTCACCACGCCGTCCATCTTGTTCCCGGCGCCGCTCCGAACGGCGACCGGCGTGCCCCGCCCGAAGTCATTTCCGTAGACGTCGAACCGCGGCGAGGCCGCGACCACGATATATGCAGGATCGCCGTCGCCGGACGCCTCCAGGTACAGGATGTGTGGCTTCTGATGCCAGGACGCGAGCGCGTCCCTCGTCTTGGCCTCGTCGAAGGACGCCACGGCCTGGTTGAGCAGCCACGCCGTGCAGCCCAGCCCTTTGTCCACGACATGGGCGACGGTGCACTTGGCCACGCCGAGCGCCACGGCATTGCCCATGTAGTGCTGCGGCACGCCCTGCACCCTTCCTCGGCATCCTACGGGCAGCAGGCAGATCGTCTCCCGGTCAGGCGGGAGGCGCCGGGCTCGGCACGCACCGCGCCAGAGGTGCGCAAGCACGGCCTGCAATGAGGAGATGGGGTCTGCTTGTGGCTGTGCCGTGCCGGTCATCTCGGCGTTTGCCTTTGCCTTGAGGTTCCTTACGCTCGCCGTCGAGAGGTGGAAGAAACACTCGCGTACCGGTGGGAACTCGACGCGCTGGATGATGTCCTCCACCTTCATGAACGGTAGGGTGACCGGCACAGGGCATGCGTCGGGGAACCATCTGCCGAGCACCAGCGGCGGCGTGGACAGCTCGCAGCCGTGGGCACCACTGCGGTGGATCTCCGACCAGGTGTTGAATAAGTGCCAGAACGTGGTCCCGTCGGCGACAGCGTGATTGAGCGACAAGGCAACGAACACGCCGTCGGCGAGCTCGGTGACCTGCGCGCCTAGCAGTGGACGGGGCTCCAGCCTCCAGCATCGCGTCGCCACACAGCATCCCGTTCGACGGGAAGAAGGACCGCAGCACCGGCGGGAAGTAGCGCGGGCAGATGATGTCGCTCATCGAAACCCCCGGCGCCACCGCGTGGACGAGCTCAGCCCCGTCGTTGCTGCAGCTGAGCGACACGGTGAGACACGCACCGGAACCTGATGCGCCGCCGCTGATCTCCGTGACGACGAAACGGCCGGCCAGCGGGTAGAAGCGGCCCAGGGCACGCGCGAACGACAAGGCGAGGTCGTCGGCGAGTGCGCTTCCTGTTGTCTGGGTCCTGTGCAGAAGGACGCCCTTCTGGATGTAGTGGATCGAAATGTATTGGAGATCCCACGGCGTCAGCTCCATGATCTGGGGCTGCAACGGCGAGACGTCCGGCGAGCTTGCCGGCTTTGGCCGGACCGCCCGTCTGGACACGATACGGAAGCCGCTGGTGGAGTCTTCCATTTGCTCTGCTAGGCTGCTAGCAGTCCCAAGTCTCCAGCTAGTCGAATCGGAGTCGGACGTTTGTGGCTGAGAAAATTCACCAGTCAACAAAATCGGCTTATATGAAATAGTATAAAGTTGCTATCTAAAAATGGTACGCGTGGACTTGTATAGTGGCACCTAGTACTTGTCACACAACTCCCTTCAGTTATTGCAACGCACAATCGGATAATAAGTTCAATCGGATAATAAGTTCAGCATCAGTCATCACCAAATTGACCCCACCGACAAACTCAAAAACGGGCTCGTTATTTTTTAGGGGGAAGGAGCCAAAAATAGTGGCTTTCCGGCCCTCCTCCAGTGCCCCTAAAAATATGCTTCTCACAGGACCTTCATTTTGAAAAATCAAAAACACCCTTCAAGCTCAAAACCACCGATGGAATTGTTCGTGGAGCTCGGCAAAAAAAAAAATGGCTTCACTAGTGAAGTGAAGCCCCCCGCCAAACGGGCCTCAATCAAATTATTTTTGACAAACTCTCGGGGCTTATTTTTCAGGGTAAAAAACACTTTAAACTCTTAACTTGTAGATCTCATTGAAAGCTACAACTTTGGTATGAAAAATCATTTTTAACACCCCTATAAATAATATATTAGTGCTTTGATCGCGGCGCCGGTTTCAAAAGATTTTCTATTATTATAGTGCTGAAATTTTATATTATTTTTTCGAGCATCTTACTGTCCTTAAATGAAAAAAATTAAAACTATAAAGTTGTAGATCTCATCGAGGTCTACAATTTACATATAAAAATTATCTTCATCCGACATCGTATTAAAGGGTTTTCTATTTTTTGAAATTTAAGTCTCGTCACGCGACAAAATAATACTGTGGCGTGACGAGACTCAAGTTTCAAAAAATAGAAAACCCTTCAATACGATGTCGGATGAAGATAATTTTTATATGTTAATTTTTTTCATTTGAGGACAGTAAGATGCTTAAAAAAATAATATAAAATTTCATCACTATAATAATCGCCTACTAGCGCTTGACGCATTAGAGCATTAATATATTATATGTATGGAGTTTAATGAAAATACTTTTTATACCAAAGTTGTAGCTCTCAATGAGATCTACAACTTTGTAGTTTTGAGTTTTTTCATTTGATGACGTTAAGATGCTTAAAAAATAATTTAAAATTTCAGCGACTCCCAAAAATAGAAAAACCGCTTTTGAAACCGGCCGATGATCAAATTTGTCCGGTTTTGATAGTTGGAGAGTGTTTCTTGACCAGTTTCATAGTTGAAGGTTAAAAATCAAACTTCGACGCAAGTTGAGGGTTATAAAATATACTTTACCCTTATTTTTATAATAAACTCACTAAAAAATATAAATATTATTAATTAATCATCATAAATATAATAATGACACTTATTCTAGGACGAAGCCAAAACTTAAAAATCGAATTGGCCTCTAGTACGCCCTTCTGACTCTAGTATTCTGCTACTTCAACAGTACAGTAACAGTGAATTATCCACAAAATAGTAATAATAGTTCACTTTTGTGGACATGCATTGATGCATGCACTTGAGTGGTCAAAATCAAGTTGCCTTTTAGTCAACAATCGTGTAGGAAAAAAAAAAGATTGGAATGTAAATTCTTTTTTTCCATATGAAATTGGCATCTAGCTACGAGAATCCGAATGCTCTTGTCCTGTTTGTTTCACCGATAAGCCATGACTCAAAATATTGTTGGCTAATTTGTTGTGAAAAAAAAAATTATTCATTGTTAGCTGAAAAAGTACGACTTATAAATCAAACGAAAATGACGTCTATTTGTTGATTCCTATATTTTCTCTTTGAAATTCCTCCTATCCAAATAGCACCTGTTTTAAAACAAGATTATTTTAACCGAACCGACAGAGAGTGCTCATTCATTTTTTTTAATTCTTACTTTTTTAGAGTTCTAGGACCAACTGGTCCCGTCTTCTATCATTAGATAAAAGACTCAGAGATTCATTACAGCATCGAAGGTGGTATACCACATGAAATCCATATTAACCCGTCTACCAAACACCAGCAAATAAAACAGGACAAGTTCAGAACCGCTGAACCATCCTCATACAAGAAGCCTAAAACAGCAACTAAGCAGCAACATCACAACGCTATCTTCAGACTAAGACTCTGTTCAGCTGGTCTATAAACCGCTTGTGCTGGTTTGTTGGGAGAGAAAAATATTATACCATACCTGATAAACCGGCTTATAAGCTGGCTTATAATGGTGGCCGAACAGAGCCTAGGTCTTCACTGGCAACCCCCAATTGTTAGGCAAAGGCTTGACCATTCCATCTCTTCCCTTCTCCATCACCAGCTTCATATGATCAAGGCACCATTCATTTGATGATCCCTAACAGGAAGCCATCTTGACTTCTTTGTCATCCTTCATCCGGCTTGTTAGGCAGTGTCTTGCTCATTTCCTCTTTGTCATCCTTCATCAACAGTTTCATATGCTCACATCGCCATTCATTAGGCCTCTCCCAGCAGGAAGCCATCTTGCCATCATCAACTGAGATTTGAGCTCGGCAATAACTCCATACGATCCTGATGCTCCACAGGACACCAATTCTGTGTCATAGCAATAATCATCTGGTAAAGAATTTCCATACTTTTCCAACCACTTCTCTGAAAACAAATATTATTCCTCAGTTTCCACGTACTCCACCAAGCAGCCGCTGTGAAGATATTAGTAACACAATGTTTCTTATTAGAAAGCCAATATTTCCCTATCACATCTAAAGATCCACCAAGGTTAACATTCAGAACCGTGGATAAAATTTTCCAGAGTTGAGTAGCCAGCACACAGTCAAAGAAAAGGTGCTGGACAGATTCAATTTCACAACAAAACATACATGTGGCATCTTCCACCTTCCTCCTCTTCCCCAAGTTATCCCTAGTCAGCACTTCATTCTTAGAGACTAACCATAAGAAGAAATGAACTCTAGGAGGGACCTTTAAAGACCAGAGAGCTGGAACAGTTGCAGAATGTATACCCCTAAAATTGATCACTTTGTAAAGGGTTTGGGTAGAATAAGAACCCTTAGACGAAAATTGCCAAATAAGCGAGTCCTCCTCACTGGTGAAAGAAATAGTACAAGCTAATTGGCAAACTTCCATCCACTGCTGTTCCAGGCCATCATCCATGTTTCTTCTAAAAGAACACTTGAGAGAGGACCCATCCCAGACCTCATCAATGGTAGCATTTTTCTCATTGACTATCCTATAAAGTTTCCATTCTTGATGCTTGAGCAGCCCACATGAACCCCCTAAAGAAACTTGAAGCATTGGTGGATTTAGAACAGAAAATATTAGGCTTAATTCTTACTTTTCTCTGTGACATTAAACTGATTATATGTAAAATTTCTTTTTGATCTCTATGCGCTGACGGTGATTTCTGCTGGGGTCATATCATTTGCCCATACCGACAGTCTGATCGACGCGAGAGAGCCGAGAGCCATGCAACCCGCACCCGCGGCACTGCACGTCAACTCCGTCGATCACATCATCGTGCTGTCAAACCGTCGGGTACAACAGTGTTGTATCCATCGGCGTCCTGTCCAATCTTGGGCGCTCCAAGTCCAAGTCCAACGTCGTTCTGACGAGGGCAATGCAGATGCAGGGTACTTTCAAATCAAATTCAAAAAACATCAAATTAAACGGCAATAATTTTACCATTTTATTCAGCCCTAGGATCCACGGCTGATGGCATCATTTGATTACAGGCGCTGCCTTGTATCCTGGTCCTGGACCTCGCGCGGCAGCGGCGTCATTCCAGCAGTCAATTGTTAGGCTGGCGTTTATTTTTCAAGCTAATTGGCGACGTGGTGACTAACATCTTCGATAATGATGCAACGATAACGTCCGTCCGTGACTCCCATTCTGACTCGCTCACGTAAAAAAAAAAAACCCTGCTCGTTCCACTCTCCGCGATGCCTCTGCGTGTCACCAGCTCCTTCTTCTTGTCCCCTGTCTGACCAGAGCTCCCCTGTCGGCCCCTTCCTCCCGCCTCCGCTCGGCCAGAGCTTGCCGGCAGCCGCCTGCGCATGTGGCTGCCCCCTTCCTCTCAGCCCTCGTCCGGCCAGAGCCCACCGGTGACCTGCGCCATCGTTGGCCTATCCCCGCCTTTCCCTCCGCCCGCCTGCGACGACGGAGCCCGCATCCCGGTCAAAGCTCGCCGACGACCTGTCCACGCCACCCCTCATATCGCCTCTGGAAGGGGCCGTGACGACACTGCCCTCCGCCCGCCCATCCCCCGCTTGCGCTGCGCCGTACGGAAGGAAGGATGAAAAACGCACGTTGCAAGCATGTTTTAGATGTTTTATAGGTATGTTGCAAAAGTAGATCGGGATGTTGTAATGTTGTAATGGTTGTACATGTATGTTGCAAGCTCCTGTTCTCAATGTTTTATCTGTTTTTTCCGACGTATGTTGCAAGTGTGTTTATTTTGATGTTACATGTGTTTCACACATATGTTGCAAGTGTTTTTATCTGTATGTTGCGTATGTTTTACAAGAATTTTGAGGTGTTTTTGCAAGTTTTTCTGATGCATGTTTCAAGTGTTTCATATGTCTTGAGATGTATATTTACAAGTGTTGCATATGGATGTTTCAAAAGTAGATTGGATGTTGCATCCCGCTCCCTCATCGCCTTCAACTGCCTCGTCCCGGTGTCTCCACCTTCTCTCGGTGCAGGCTTCTAAACCAGAGGCGTAGTTGGGCGCCGCCCCTTTCCCTTCTTCTCGATGCTGGCGGCGCGGCTTGTGATGGCGGCGCGGCGGGGGATGGACCGCTGCGAGTACACGCTGGCGCGCACTCCTTCTGTTCCGTTACGTGGGGTGCGTTTATTTCTTCTATTATGCGTTGAGATCAGCTTCGAATCGGATGGCCCCTAGCTGCGTTAAGGCGCATCCTCGGACCGGACATCCGGCCGCTATTCGTCACGTAATATCTTTGTTGTTGTGTTATATATGC